GGGGGGGGGGGGGGGGGGGGGGGGGGGGGGGGGGGGGGGGGGGGGGGGGGGGGGGGGGGGGGGGGGGGGGGGGGGGGGGGGGGGGGGGGGGGCGGGAGTAGGCAGGCAGGAGGGGAGCGCCAAACGTTGATTTTCTTTATTTATCTTGAGGGAGAAAGAGAGAAAGCACAGCCGGGGCAGAGAGAGGGAGAGAGAATCTCAGGCTGTCTCCAGGCTGGGGTGCAGCCGACGCAGGGCTCGATCTCACAACCCCAGAATCATGACCTGGGCCGAAATCAAGAGGACGCTCCACCAGCTGAGCCCCCAGGTGCCCCTCCTTTCCTTTTCCCGAGGGTTTCTGTGCCTGAGTGGATGGGAGTTACACCCGCAGGCTGTGCGCCCCGAACGGACACCGCACAGCGAGGCGCGATGAAGGCTCGGCAGAACCGGGGGGCAGCGCTGAGCCCTGTCCTCGGGGCTGAGGGCCCGGACGACAAGACAAAAGAACGTCCCTGCTCCTCACGGGCTTGGGCCTCGGTGGGGACAGACTGGCCGCAATGGGGTGGAGACCGAAGACAGAAAGGGTGGAGGCGGGGGGGGCGCTTCGGGGAGGGGCCCGGGCCAGGCCGCGGTCTGGGGCCGCCGGACGGAGGTGACGCGAGGCTCTCAGGCACTGGCAGTGATGCGCCGCTTCCCAGATCCGCACACCTTGGGACACGCCGCACCTAACCAGAGACGTGGGAATGGAGAGATGTGGGAACCTCGCGGTCTGGGGTTCAGATCGAAAGCCGGTCCGCCGGTGAGTGTAGACACCAGGGGGTAGGTGTTTTCATTGCTGCCATCATTGGGTGGCTCTGTGATCCGTGATCCGACGACACGCCTTCAATTGCAGACGGGACGTGCTGGCTCCGTCTGTCCGGCCGGGAGAGTGGGGGGTCCACCCAGCTAGCGGGCCGCCCAGGGGTCCTCGGTCAGGACCTGGGCCGAGCGGCCGGCTGCGTCACCTGCGTCCACTTCCTCCCAGGAGGTGCGCGGAGCCTGATGACCGGGAACGCAGAGGCGGTAAACCGGTTTTCCGAGGGCGCCAGCCTGGGCAGCAGGGTAAAGGTCATTGCTATGTGCGGCCCAAGCATGCAGCTCGCGGCTCTTCAGTGCGGGGGACAGGCAGCCACTCCCAGACGGTATCTGGGACCCGGGGCGCCGCGTGTGTTAGAAACAATCGCCTCACGTCCCGCATCATGGTTTTGGATTTTTCCTCTCCCCCGTGGAGATGGGAAGTCATTTTCGTATCCTCTTTAGGAGGTGCTGGGATTCGGGACTTTATTCCAGTTAAAGTCAGGATGGCGGGGGCAGCGCTCTTAGCTTACGTTTGCCGGGTGTTCTTGCCTCTATAATAATCGTCACAGCGGGTGTTTATCGAGTGACTTTTTTCTCCTTGCAAAATGGAGTGAGCATTTATGGAGCGCTACGTGTTTCCTTAGCGCGGTGTTAGGAGCCTTGTGTGCACCCCCTCATTTCTCATTACAACCCTGGGGGGCGGGTGGGGGCTGCCGCCTCCATTCCAGGGACGAGGACTCTGAACCCAGGGAGGTTCAGTAACCTGCCTAAGAACACACAGCCTGCAGGGCCGGGGCGGCCGGGGCGGGAAGCACTGGTCAAGTCTCAGAGCAAATTCCAGCTGGGACTGATTGTGTGCGATCGCAGATTTGGGGCAGATTGGGGGTAAACTCCTGGTGTCGAGTAGATGAGGCGCCGGCTGCGTGGGGTCTGACTGTTACCGCACGGAGAACGGGATCGTGGGGACGGCGATGGCTGCTGGAAGCCCGCGCGCCCTGCACACGGCCCCGCGCCTCTCACGCGCCTCTAAAAGGGTTAAAGAGAGGAACGTGGTGGCTCCGATCTGGGGGCACGTGGGTGTGGTCGCTTCTCGCTTTCCGTCTGTACATCGCCCCCTCCCTTCCACAAACAAGGCTCAGGGCTCGCGGCTCGCGGTCCGTTTTCTTTGTGAGCATTTCCTCTGCCTTTGGGGGCGCGGGCGGGAAACACCCCGTCTCCGCAGACACGCTGCCTGTTCGGCCGGCCGCTCTCAACAGACTGGTGTTAGGACCCAGGAAGACGCAGCAGCCGGGGTATAAATAGAGAAGCAGAGCAGAACAAAGTTTGAGGAGAGAGTCTGACATCATTCGCTCTCCACCCAGAGCCAGGACGGGGCGCAAGCCTGCGTCAGGGCGGGAGCTGGGGCGGCGGGGCGACCTTCGGAGCCGTCCTGCTGCGCCCGCGGCCAGGTGAGGGACGAGGGTCCGAGCGTCCGGCTGGCAGCCTGGCCGCAGGCAGACAGACTCGGGAGGGGAAAGCAGACGCGACGGCCCCGCGGGGCCCCGAGAGCCGCGGCCGGCTGGGGACCGTCCTGGACGGACGCGGGTCGCTGAGGACGCTCCGGTTTGGGGACGAGGGGGAGACGCCCGCTCTCCAGGACGGCGGTGCCTCGCACACTAACGAGGACCAGATTTCTCGCGCTCCGGACCCCGTGGAGATGTCCCTTTCCCAGGGAGGTGACAGTTAGGGAGCACGCATTGTCACGGACGCTCAGGAATTCCGCTGGGTCGCGGTGCAGCCTCTGAGGAGATGAGGGAGCGGCGGGCGCTGTGCTGGCTGTGCCCCTGGCTGTGCCCCTGGCTGTGCCCCTGGCTGTGCCCCTGGCTGCTGCTGTCTCACTGCCACTTTCAGGTAACGTCTCCGGGGGCTCTCCCCGCGCCCGCCTCGCTCTCGCCGCCGGGGGCGCCCCGCGGGGTCTCACGGCGCCGTCTTTTGTGTGCAGGTGCGGGCAGCCTCCTCCTCCAGGCCAGCGGCCCATCCAGGTAAGGGGACCCCCAGCTCCCTGCTCACCGCTGGCCGCCGGCCCCCCGGGCGCCCAGGTCCCCACGCGCTTTGGTTTCTCGTCTCCGCGGCCCACGGAGGGCGGCCCTTCCCCGGCCCCCTGTCTCTTTCCCCGGGTCCCTGTCCCCTTCCCCGGTCCCCCGACCCCTTCCCCGGCCCCCCGGTCCCCCGGCCCCTTCCCTGGACCCCAGTCCCCCGGCCCCCCGGCCCCCCGGCCCCCCGGCCGGCGGCCCTGCCCTTTGTCTCTGGGCGCCCTGATCGTCCCGGCACCAGAGCTCGCGCCGCGTCTTCACGCAGACTCAGGGGTCACCGTCCCAGCGGGGCTCACGTGCTCAGGCCACGGCGAGTCCTCGGCCCGCCAGCTGTCCCTGAGTGGCGTGGTCGCGTGGCAGGTGCGGGCGCATGCAAGGCGGGGGCCCCTGTGGCCGCCGGTGCGTGGTCGAGGGGAACCCGTCGAGGACCCCGAGACCCTGCTCGAGCGCTGTGCGAACAAAGCCTGACCCCTGGTGAGGCCGCCTCCGACTCCCAGCTGAGGGGCCACCGGGCTCCCACCCGCCACTGTCACCAGCAGGGCGGCGCCTTCGGGCAGCGCGAGCGTCCCTGTGGGGCTGCAGGGTCTCCCTCGCGGGCGATGCCGCTGGCCCGTCCCCGCCTGGGCCTCCCGTGTCTGGACGGGGTGCCGCCATTTCTCTTGACCCAAACATCCAAGTTCACCCCCTTGTTAGAGAAGGTGTGAAGGCTGTGACTGTCCACGTGCTCCCCTCCCCCACCAGGGAGCCCACAGAGAGGAAAGGGCCCTGTGGTGTCCGCCTGAGGCTCTCCCCTCCTCCCCCCTTCCTGCTGGAGTGCGGGCAGGCCCTCCCCGCCGCCCAGGCTGGGAGAGGAAGCAGGGGGCGGTTTCCAGATTGTGTCCTGGCCACGTCTCATCCGTGCATGTATCCCTGCGTGTGCACACGTGTCCACACACACCCACACCCATGCACACAACCATCCACGTGCCTGCACACATGCACACGTGTCCACACACGCCTGTCCACACATGTGCACACACACGCACACCTGTCCACACACACCCACACCCATGCACACAACCATCTGCACGCGTGCACACACATCCATCCACACACGCACACCCGTCCACACACACACCTGTCCACATGCGTGGACACACAGCCACACATGTGTACACATACCTGTCCACACACACACCTGTGCACACAACCATCCACACACATGCACACACGCACACCTGTGTACACACCTCTGTCCACATGCGTGTGCACAGATGCAACCTGTCCAGACATGTGCACACACCTGTTCACACGTCTGCACACACCTGTCCACACGCGTGCACACACGGCTGCACACAAGGAGGGTTTGACTCAGTCTCTGCTGCACGTGGAGACAGGGCCCCTCTCGCGCCCTGACCCGACCCGGGTGCCCAACTAGCTCGGCAGAGGGATGGCGGGAGTGCAGACGTGGGGACGGTGCAGGGCAGGGGCGTGCGGAGCGGAGGTGCTCGGCGGTCTCACCGATGTCCACGCCCACGGCTTCTCTTCTTGTCTCGCTTCCTGCGTCTCAGGGTCTCTCCGGCTCTTCCTCCCCCTTCTTTACAAGAATCACTGGGGGGTTTGCTTGCGGACAAGCCCCTGCTGCTTGCGCTGTCTTCCCCCCACCCTCCTCCCTCCCTGCCTCCTCCCTCCCTCCCTCCTCCCTCCCTCCCTTCTTCCCGTGTCTGTCTCTCTGTCTCTCCCTATGTCTCCCTGTCTCTGTCTGTATGTGCTTCCCTGTCTGTCTCTATCTCTCTGTGTCTCTGTCTCTATTTCTCCATGTTTCTGTCTCTGTCTCTTTGTTTCTGTATGTCTCTCACTGTCTCTGCCTCTCTTTCTCCGGGTATCTGTTTCTGTCCCTCTGTCTCTGTGTCCATGTCTCCATCTCTGTCTTTCTCTCTCTATCTCCCCTCCTCTTCCTCTCCCTTCTCCTTTAGTTGTCTCTCTCCCCACCTCCTGCCCTCTGCTCAGCGCCCTTTCCTGCGGAGAAGTCTGACCCCCGAGCATGCGGCACCCTCGGGGCTTCTGGGCCCAGGCCTGCAGGGTCCCAAGAGGAAGTCCGGAGGGAAAGGCCCAGCCCCTGTACCTCTCAAGGGCACCCCCTCACTCACGGACACAAAACAAGCCAGAGCCTGTTCCTAGAGGGAACATTCGCGAGAATCTAAATCCCCACCCCTGCGGGAACGGCCGTGTCACCTGCACTGTTTTGTTCTAAGGAAAGTTGAGCAGGAATTTAAAAACGACCTAAGTCCCGTGCAGTCCTCCAAAGGGTCCTCTGAGGCAGCCTCTCTGCCCTCCTGCGGACGGACAGACAGACAGGACAGCCGGGGCGGGAGGGGTGCGCAGCACTGAAGGCGGCCCCACAGGGTCCCCACACCACACTGCTCTTTCTCTTTTCTTTATTTACCTTAAAAATTATTTTTGATATTTATTTATTTTTGATAGAAAGAGAGAGAGAGCATGAGCGGGGGAGGGTCAGAGAGAGAGGGAGACACAGAATCCGAAGCAGCTCCAGGCTCTGAGCTGTCAGCACAGAGCCCGACGCGGGGCTCGAACCCACAAACCGCGAGATCATGACCTGAGCCGAAGTCGGACGCTTAACCAACTGAGCCACCCAGGGGCCCCCAGACTTTTCTTTTTAGGTCTGACCAGCACTAGTTAGCCTTCCCTGCCTCGTTGGGACCTAGCACTCGAGCTCTCGTACAGTAGGCGCTCAGTAAACGTTGGCTTGGCTCTGTGCTGTCAGTCCTGAGGGAGCGAGTCCGCGAAGACAGCAAGGCCGCCAGATCTCAACTGCAGGTGCGCGGCCACCTGCCCGGGTCACCTGCCCCGCCCGCCTGCCCCGGCCCAGCCTGCCAGCCATTAGCTAGGCCTTTATCTCCGCCGGGTGTTTAGTTGTTTAAATAACTGAAAGGCAACTTTAAATCATTCTGAGCCTTCGTATCATCTATGTTTATCTGTGACCTCGGACTGTCATTTTGGAGAAATTACAGCATGCTGTCACTGAACGGAACCGGAGGCGGTCCGGCCCACATCCCCATGTGCAGCTGCGAAGGTGAGGCCCGGACAGGGGAAGCCGGGTCCCCCGCGTCTGGAATTTTTCCTCCGGCCGCCGAGTCCTTGCTCTGTTGCGAGGACAGTGCTAAGACTCTAAATCCGTCCGTGGTGCCAGCCAAGAAACGAGGGCATTTATGAAACATTTATCAGCATGCCTCTCACAGATAACTTTTGTAATGAGGAAAAGGGAGCTTAAAACACTTCCATGTCCAGAATTCCCCTGGCCCTGGGTACACAGAGCGGCTGGTTCCCACCCAGTTCCCGGGGGTCGGATGCCTCACCTCACCAGCCCTATTTAGAGTCCTGGGAAGCCAGAGAAGATGATTATAGTAATTATAATTCCCTAGAGTTACATACTAGTTTTTTTTTTTCTGTGCAAACCAACAGTTTGTTCCCTTTATATTTTTTTATTGAGGTATAATTGACATATAGTATTATCTTAGTTTGAGCCATACAACATAACGATCCGATATTTGTATATATTGCAAAATAGTCCCTGCAATACGTTGAGTCAGCGTATGTCACCATCTCGGTGATACAGGGCCTGCAAGGGACAGTCAGAATCACGAGGTCACGGCAGAAACTATTCCTCGTCTTCCTGGTGCAGAAAAAGTGTTTATGATGGAATTAAAAAAATAATGTTTATTACCTATTGAATAATGGAAATTTGATAAGTAGAGATGGGGGTATATATATATTCAGAATTATATATATATTCTTTCTATGTTTATTCATTTATTCACTATTACATTTCATCAGCCACGCTGCTTATATAGTTTTAAAAAAATATTTGCTAAGATTACAGTTTTGGGGAGAATCTAAATGCAGAAATCTGGATGACGCAGACACACAGACACACACAGACACAGACACACACCCACAGACACCCCCCCACACACACACACCAGGCCTTATTTTAGACGTGAGAATATGGTGTGCGTAGCACACGGTCTCTGCACACAAGCCACAGAGATTCAGACACAGGAGACAGACAACAAGCAGAAATACTCGAGTAATAGTAAGTGCCGTGAGCAAAGCGCCGTCGTCTGGGCCATCGGGCTGGGGCCCCGGAGAGATGGCCGCTGGCTCTCGGGGAAGAGCTGCAGGCAGCGGGCCGGCGGCTCGGCCGTGGCGGGGCTGAGTCCTGTGCGATGGCTCTGTCGGATGGGGCAGTGGGGCGCCGGGCGGGCACTTGGCCGCGGCCTCGAGGGATGGGGGCTCCGCTCACGGACACCAGGAGCAGGTCCGGGGGCAGCGCTGGGCGTGCGGGGCCCGGAAGGAAAACTGAGGAGGAAAAATAAAAGGTTTTAAGTCTCTCTCTCTCTCTCTCTGTCTGTCTCTCTCTGTCTCTGTATTATTCAGGGCCGGGCGTGTCTGAAGCCCCACTGAGCCACAATGTCCCAGGGCTCGCTGTCTTGTCTAAGCAGACCCACAGGCTGTACGAGGTTTATCTGCTGGAAACCAGGTGCTCTTAGAACCTGGAGACCTCAGGTCACCTTCCGTTTTGGGAAAATAGCCCCGGAATAAGATTTTCTTGTTTTGACGACACTTATAGGGCTGTGGGTTGTTTACGCCTTAGGGTATAAAGGGGAACCTCCCTGGTGAATTTAGTTCTTGGCCATGTCTTATCGGCACCACGCAATTTTTAATGAAAATAACCACTTTAAAAAAATTAATTTTCTTTAAATTTTATTTATTTATTAAAAAATTTTTTTAATGTTTTATTTATTTCTAGGAGAGAGAGAGAGAGACAGCGTGAGCAGGGGAGGGTCAGAGAGAGAGGGAGTCACAGACTCTGAAACAGGCTCCAGGCTCTGAGCTGGCAGTCAGCACAGAGCCCGACGCGGGGCTCGAACCCACGAACCGCGAGATCATGACCCAAGCGAAAGTCGGACGCTCAACCGACTAAGCCACCCAGGCGCCCCTTTATTTATTTATTTTTGAGAGAGAGAGAGAGGAAGAGAGAGAATGAGCCAGGGAAGGGCAGAGAGAGTGAGAGAGAGAGAATCCCAAGCAGGCTCCGCACCGTCAGCACAGAGCCCAGTGCGGGGCTCCATCCCACGACCCGTGAGATCATGACCTGAGCAGAAATCAAGAGTCAGACACTTCACCGACTGAGCCACCTAGGCGCCCCAAAATAACAACCTTAATTGGTAACATTAAAATTCGGGGAGATTTCACAAAAATCTGGGTTTCCAACCTCCCCCTCAAAGTAGCCAGACGCCCCGCTCCCGTCCTCGGGACACACATTTCCCAGTGGGCCCAGCCCCGGCTCCCGAGAACCGTTTGACACCTGCTTCTGGCACCTGTTGCGGAATTAGACCGCCTGCTGGGTGGGGGACCCTGGGCCCTGCGCACATCACAGCCTGCGAACCCTCCTGCGCCTACTTCCAGTCTGTTGGACCCACTCAGCGCTGCCGGTTACAAGACCCCGGGCAATGTGGGGTGGGGGCTTTGCCCTTGGCTGAAGCTGATGATGTAGGATAGCAGGCCCTCTGAGGACCCCACCCCCCTTCTCCCAAAGACTAGCTAGCTTTGGCCGGGGGGATCTTTCTGTGTGAACAAGACCACCATCAGCCCTTCTGCCCAGAGCGGGCGGTGGCTGCCTGTACACGGGGATGCCGGGGAAGGATTTGTTGTCCACGGTTTATTTTATGAAGATGTGGGCTGTGATGAACCCACCATATCTGCTCTTTGCACTACAGAGGTGATTTCCTTTTCTGACCCTCCCCGCCCCCAACTCTCCCCGGATGAATTGAATAACAAGTCGACGATGTGTCCCCTCTTCAAAATGAATATCCTACGTTGAGGGTTGGGGGAGAAAGCATGGTAGAAATGGAGATGAGTAGTTTTGACTTTTACATTTCCAAGTCCCGATATCGCATTGCTAGTGTAGAGCTGTTGCCAGGGCACATGGGCTGAAGCCACGTGTCTTCAATTTTAGAAGTTTTTAAAGGAAGACATGTCCAAACATTTGCCTAGGACAGAAATATAAAGGACTAGAAATCTTCCTCTTACATCTAACATCCATTTCCTTAATTTCCTCGCCCGTAAAATACCGCCATCGGTTTCTAAGGGTATCCGTGCAAAATCTCTCTCTCTCTCCCCTTCCCTCCCTCCTTGCTGGAGGGACAGCTGGGTTTTCCACAAAGAGTTGATAGTATCACATTTTTCTCTCACGTTGGTTTTTTTTTTTTTTTTTTTTTTAACAATATAATGTGAAATGTTCCAATGAGGAACATTTCACATCAGCCCAAGTGTCTCAGCCTGCTCACTTCTCCTAGTGACACCTCGGCTATTATGTAGATGTTCCCACGCTTTTGATACTATATACTATAGTATATAAGTCCTGCAATATATATAATATATATGTTTAAGTCCTGCAAGAAATGTCCTCCTACGTAGCTCTTTGATCCCATGTGTGATTCTGTGTCTAGAGTAACCTCCTAGGAGCAGAATTACTAGATGAAAGTGCACTTAAAGTTTGTATAGCTATTGCCGTAATGCCCTCCAGAAAGGCTGTAACTTCCTCCAAAAATGCGGTGAACTCACTAACCGGGTACACCGAGTGGTCCGTTTGTCAGTCGGCAGGGTGGGCTGGGACAGACTGGCTCACTGTTGTTTTATTTTTTTTATAAATTTTTTTTTTAATGTTTTATTTATTTCTAGGAGAGAGAGAGAGACAGCGTGAGCAGGGGAGGGCCAGAGAGAGAGGGAGTCACAGACTCTGAAACAGGCTCCAGGCTCTGAGCTGGCAGTCAGCACAGAGCCCGACGCGGGGCTCGAACCCACGAACCGCGAGATCATGACCCAAGCGAAAGTCGGACGCTTAACCGACTAAGCCACCCAGGCGCCCCAAGAAATCACTGTTGTTTTAAAGTGCCTCTAAAAATTATGAGCAGGGTTTGACATCTTTTCATATATTTAAAAATAATTTGCATTTCTTTTCCTTCGAACTGCCTGTTTACACCCGTGGCCCCAGTGTTCTGTCGGCTTAAATTTTCTTAATAGTAGGCGTTTTAACGAATGCAATACATTTCATACTGTTCTTTAAAAAGACATGGGTACATTTCTGTCCTATGTATTACATAAAATCATTCTCTTGTTCGCTTTAACTTGGTTTATTTTTACACACAGAAATTAAAATTTTTTTTAATGTTTATTTTTGAGAGAGAGAGGGAGAATGAGTGGGGGAGGGTCAGAGAGAGAGGGAGACACAGAATCTGAAACAGGCTCCAGGCTCTGAGCTGTCAGCACAGAGCCCGACGTGGGGCCCGAACCCACGAACCATGAGGTCATGACCTGAGCCAAAATTGGACGCTCAGCTGACTGAGCCACCCAGGTGCCCCTTATGTATGGCAATTTAAAGAATTCGCATAGTCAAATTCATTACCTGGTTTTCTCAGAAGCTTTTATGTTTATTATTTTTTCTGTAATCACATTTATAGTTTGATCCTTCTGGAAATTGTGACGGTATAGAGAGTTCGGGATCTTGGGTTTTTTGTAGGTGGCTAACTGACTCCAAAACCGTCTGCTGAGTGTTCCTCTTCTGGTTTAAAATAGCACTTTCATCATAAACTAAAGCTTCACATGCGCGGGGGGATATTTATGGGTCTTTTCCACGGAACTGTCTTGTTCATGCGCATTTGCCAAATTCTCTTTCGAGCTGCGACCTCATGACAGGTCTTCGCCGTGTGCGAGTGCGAGTGCCGCCCCACCCCCGCCCACAAAGGCCCCATCACGAGCTTTCTCTCAGCATGTTTACAACAGATTTCCCCATATTTATGTATTAATTAGACGGTTGGTTGATAGTTTTATGATTTTGAGTTTTCTTTTGCACAAATAGGCTAAATTCTTTGCTTATTCAAGGGTTATTGTACATCCCTTGGTATTATTATCTTTTTTCTTTGTGAAATATTATATTGTTGTTTCTTCTTATTCGTTCGGACGGCAACATCTTCTTTCTGTCGGCTGCATTTACAGATGAGAACTTTTCTCCACACCGCGCGTTAGCGTGAGTGTTGGAACGCGGGGACACTGCTGACTCTGTCACACGTCACGTCCATATAAGCCTCGCTACTCAGATCTTTCCTTGTGTGTAAGAGTGTTTCACTTACAGAATTATTTTCTTATTTGTAATCCTGTTTCATTTTTCCATGATCAGGCACACCTCATTTGAAAATAAGAATCATATTATCTCCTCTTTAAAAATAGTTTTATGATGAATAACGCAAAGACTACTTTATTAATTTTTCTGGTCTGTGATCTGGCAGACACTTGGGCGGTTGACTATTATTTAGTCCTCTGGACCATTCTTTCCACTGCTGGGAACTCCCCACAGAGAGCTGGTCTAGGAGCAGATTGGAGCCAGGCGAGGGGCTGGGTGCGTGAGGGGTGCGCCCCTCCCCCCCCCGGGACTTTTGCCCAGACCCCATGAGGGGACCGGGATAGAAGCAAATAAATGAAGTAGTTCCGGTGGTATTAAGTGGGATCAGAGGCCGGACACATTCTAGCTGCACAAAATCATGTCTGTTCAAAGTCCAAGGGTCACAAAGGAAATTCTGGAGCGGTTAATTGTTAGTATTCAGAGAGCAGGGTGCGTACAGAAAGATGGGGAGGGAGCGCTGCTCGCCAAACCAGCCTGCGGAGCGGTTTCTGCGGAAGCACCGACCCCTCGTCTCAACAAACGGGCTAACGATCAAATTACCTAACCTTCCTTGTCACGGCGAACTAAGGAGCTGTTTGTCACGAGCCTTACGTGATGTTGGCCATATTGGTGCCGGTGTTCTCCTCATTTTAAATCATTGTAACCTGATTTCTTTCTCTCTCCTGGGTGCATCAACAAGGTCTACAAAACAATATAAAACAATAATGGGATAATGGCCATTCTTGTCCTTCTCCTGACCCTCGTGACATGCTCCTGTTGTGGCCCCACTAAGCTTGGTGGCTCTTGCTCCCTTCAGTTCAGAGGAGTCTGCTCATTTGTATTTATCACGCTTTCTCACATTGAGGAAATGTTCACCGATATATATATATCTATACACACACACACACATTTTTTGTTTTCGTTTTAATGTTTATTTATTTTTGAGAGAGAGAGACAGAGCATAAGTGGAGGAGAGGCAGAGAGAGAGGGAGACACAGAATCTGAAACAGGCTCCAGGCTCCGAGCTGTCAGCACAGAGCCCGACATGGGGCTCAAACCCACGAACCATGAGATCATGACCTGAGCTGAAGTTGGACACTCAACCGACTGAGCCCCCCAACTATTGATTTCTATATTTTATTAAGAGTTCTTTTCAAAACCAGGAGTGTGTTGGATGTATGCAAATGCCTTTGTAACGAATCCCATTGTCCCTGTGATGCAATTCCTCTTCCCTCCGTTCATGATGTGAAGGAAAGCATCTCTTCCCTCCTAATGATGATTTAACATCTTTATTCTTTTCTTCCCCTAAGGGTTTGAGGTCTTGGCTTCCGCTTCCCATTACTGGCCGCTGGAAACTGTGGACGGGATCCACGAACTTCAGGACACGACTGGAGGTAGACGGGGGTGGTGAGGATACCGGAGTCCGCAGGGACGGGGGGGCCCGGGGTGGGGCCATCAGGGGAGGCAGACGGGGACAGCTTCTGCTGAGAGGCGAGTGGAGAGGAACACGAATTGTGGAGTGCCCCCCAATCGTCATTAACCCAAAGTATTTTACTAGAACTTTTATATATTTTTGTCATTGAAGGACAGAACTTAAGGCTCAAAGTATTATTAACGTGTGTGCATTTTCCCCAGTAAAACCGTTAAACAAAAGGCATAGCTGGAAGTTCAAAGCTACAGATGGTGCATCAACCATACGTAGGCATCTAGATGTGCATTTTCCAGACCAAACTGGCATAGTCTGCACATCTGCCAAACGGGGGTCCATCTGAGCCAAGCGCCGGGACAAATGTGCGCGTCCCTGGGTCACCGGCTCACTCGCAAAGGCACCCCCACCCACCAATCCACTTCCAAACACATCACTGGCAGCCCCATAGACCCAACCAACATCACTTAAGATGCTCCCATGGTCTCTTAGTCCACGGAAAGTAAAGTCTCCCCCTGACTCCACTCAGACATGAGCCACAAGGTGAGACCCCAGGCGTCCCTGAGCTCTTTCTTCCACTCCGAAAACAAACTTCTTCCCAGTAGAAGTTTTGAGTGGCTTGCGTTTTTACATTAAAATGTTTATTTCCTTATTGCCTTGGATTATGTCACATGGCTGACGTGCACAGCAAGAGGTGTACGGGGCCGCCACTCCGGCACATGCCCACACGGTGTCTCTTCTGGTTCTGTGCCTGGGTTTTGTTTTTTTAAGAAGCCCGCACATTGCTGATTACTGCGCTTTCCACGGCTGCACACTGGCGTTTTCCCGGCCCCCCGACTTAATGTGCTGCCGTAAATTGCCACCGAAGATTCTAAACCATTTCCCTTAAATTTTCATTTAGAGGCTTTTGAGCTGAGGCCTGGGCCACGGGTATCCTCAGAGTGGGAGCGAAGCAGGTCCTCCTGAGGGGAAGGGCCCACGTGTGCAAGACCAGCCTCTGTGCACTCAGCTTCCCCCCTTCCTCCCCCCACCCCCCCGTGCAGGCCTGAGAACCCGCCTGCTGCTCCCATTTTCTCCAAACAGCCTGCGCTGCGAGGATGAGAAGTCCCTGGGAAGTCATTATATGAGCAGCTTGGGTTACAATAAACTGTACCCCAGCCCCCGCCCCACCCCATCATCATCTCATTTCGTTTCTCAGGCCTTTTATTTCAAAGCCTGGGAAAAGAGGTCATTCCAGCAAGTGGAAAATTCATCGTCGACGCAGCTCACTTCCCAGGACACAGACACTAACATTTTAGCGGTTATTTCAAACAATAACTCAAATAACTGTATTTCTCTCAGCACACCTCATTCTTGTGACCAAACCAGTGACTCTGGGCTCCTTGCACTCCTTCACCCGTGAGGAATTCTCGCGGAGGAAGCAGTGTGATCACGGAGGCACTGTCGCGCTTGGGCCAGGGTGCTGACTGCCCGGAGACTCCGTGTGCTTCTGTCTGTCCTGGAACCGGCAGATGGCCACCTCTCGCCGCTGCTCCCCCCGGGCCATTCTTCACGTCACGATGCTCTGCTGTCTCGTTTCAGTGTGATCACAGGCTCCTTAAGAAACGAGGAGCAGGATCCGGCAGCACGTTTTGCCTCCAGGGACAGCTGAATGGCTTTGGAAGCCACTTGGCAGTCGCGCTGCTGTCATTTGTCGCTGAACCCTCTGTTGTTCGGTCCATTTGTCGTAAAATCGTGCCATCGTCTTCATGCTGTGTTTCTACCTCATCAGTTGTGACGTCACCACCACGATCCTTGTGTTAAGGCCGTTTTACGGCCGGGCTCAGTTTCATATCTCTCAACTAGGCATCGCAGGGGGTGGCACACAGCACATTGGAGCCCACGTTTGTGGCAAAAGCCAGCAGCATTCGCACCCCGGCTTTGGGACTGGCGGGCCAGCGTGCGAGCCATGGCACTGCCCAGTATACGGGAGAGTGGGAGCGGGGAGCGGGAGGGAGGTGTGAGGTCGGGAGACAAAATCCAAGGTGCTTGCTGGGCGAGAGACAGATTCTCGGTGCGCGTCAGGTTGAGAGATATGCTGGTTCCATTTGTTGTTCATGTCACTCATCTGTTGTGCTTTTTTCTTGTTGTCCCACCCAGCATTGCGAACCCACAACCTCACTGTGCTTCCTTCCCATAATTCTACCTTTGTTCGTACCAATGACTCTGCCTACTCAAATTTCTCTGCAACTGTAGGTGAGCACTTGTAACTTCCGTTCCCTGTTTTGTTGGGTTTGCGTCTGCAATGAGTTTAGACGCCAGTCTGACTTGGTTCTACATGAATTCACTTTGTTTTAGTCAGCAGATGAGCATATAGACAAGAACATATAGCCAAGGACTTATAGCCAAGAACACGTAGCCAAGAACACCAAACGCCCAGGTTGTTAGGAATAACTGTTTCCGGCTATGTCTAGAGGAAGTACCGCCAGTCACCATACATTAGAAGGGGCTTAGAAGCTCTCACGTGACCAGGGTCTTCCAAACCAGCTATGTGTTTTCAGGACGAGACAGACACAAGATGAAATATTTTCTAAAAATAGAAGTTGTTTGGATTTTTAAATGGTGTATATTCTTTCAGGGAGGAACAGCATAACCTTTGAATGGAAAAATTGAAGTTGATCTTAAAAGACCTCACCCCCAAATTTGATCTTGTATAAACATTAAAATCAGCCTTTCTTCTGTAGCTGGATTTTTTTTTTTTAGTTATTAGAAGCTGTTTTATAAACGCCCACTGGAGTCAGGGTTAAATTATTATCTCACTTAATAACCTCAGAGCCCCTGTGTTTCGTGTTTTCTTCGGCAGCTCAAAGCTCCAGGGAGAGCAGCGTCTGCGGCATCTACCCAAGCAGGATAGAAAGTCAGTGCAGATCATTCTGGCATCGACCTTTCCTCTGTTTTCAGCACAGCACATAACCTGATTGCTCTCTCAGCTGTGACCTGTTTGGCGTCCAAAATTAATTTCCCCAGTCAAACAGTCTTGCTGAGGGGTTTATACAGCCTGACTCAATTATGCAACTGCTAATTTAATTTTGCAATAAATTTAATTTTGTAAGATATAGATTCCACCTCCCCCATCCCTGCCATAAATGAGATAGACAAAAAATAATGTAAAACCCAAGAACACTGAGGCCCTTTGAGCGGGCTCTCCACTTGACAGTGGTTGTTGGAAGAACGAGTGGGGGTCACCGTCAGGCCCACAGACCTCAGTCACTCTGCCGTTCAGGTCCTGCTGCCTGATGGCTCGAGGGCAGTGGGCCTGTGCCCGTAGGCAGAGGACGTATCTGGGCGACTTTGACCCCAATGAACAATAAATGCCTAATCATGCTGGACTTTTATAGTCCTCACTTATCGATTCTGTAAACCATTTACCTCACACGCAGCACTGGGTACGTTCGCCATGGGGAACAGGGCAGCGAGCACTGGCCGCGGCGCACGGCCACTCAGCCTAGTGCTGGGGGGGGCCCTGCTGTGACTGTTTGAGACATGACTCTGGGTGTTTCTCCTAGAGTCTGACTGTGGATTCTTTCAAAATTGTGGGTTCCCACGTCTAGGATTAGGGGGTTCCAGTGAGAACTCAAAGGGTGTGGTTTTTTTTTATTTATTTTTTTATTTTTTTATGTTTTATTTTTATTTATTTCTAGGAGAGAGAGGGAGAGAGACAGCGTGAGCAGGGGAGGGTCAGAGAGAGAGGGCGTCACAGACTGAAACAGGCTCCAGGCTCTGAGCTGGCTGTCAGCACAGAGCCCGACGCGGGGCTCGAACCCACGAACCGCGAGATCATGACCTAAGCGAAAGTCGGACGCTTAACCGACTAAGCCACCCAGGAGCCCCTCAAAGGGTGTGGTTTGTATGTTCAAACATGTGCCTCAGTGTTCCCCTTAGAAGATGGCCAGGAAGGGCTCCTGACGGTTGGGACAGCACCGCTCCTGGGAACCCAGCTCCTGGCCAGTGTAACCCTTAGGGCGTCCTTACAGACAGCGCCCATCACGTAGGAGCACAGTAGTAAGTGATGATGAAACATCGATATGAATATTCACATTCAGATGTTGTCACCTAGCACTTAGCCATTTCAGTTAGTAGATAGTGAGCGTTAATGCTAACGTGTACGATATATAATATTATAAACGTGAGTAATGCAGCATGTTTATCTAGAAGTTCTTTGTAAGACTCTTGCTCTCTGGCGACTGCTGACACACAGTGTTGCGTTCTGGTTGCATAGACATCATGGAAGGAAAGGTCAGCAAGGGCGTTTACCTCAAAGAGGAGAAAGGAGTCACACTTCTCTACTACGGACAGTACAACACCTCCTGCATCAGCAACCCGGCCAAGTGCGACCCCGACGGTGAGTGATGCGCCCTCGCCACCACTGGGCTCCCGGGGGGCGGGGGTGGGGCAGGTGGCAGGGTGTGCGTGGACGCATGGTGGGCGGGGAGGGCACGGGGGAGGGGCGGTGCAGGCGCCTGGTTTTCTAACGAGAGTCGTGTCCTGGAGACTGAGAGCTAGAACACCATCTCACAGACATGTGAGAGGGAACCATTTAATCTCGTAACGAGAAACATAAAACGCCAGAGAAGCAGATGCGGTGATGTCACACTGGCGACTTGGACGGGGCCGTGGTACTTGCGGGAAGTAAGTTGGTGCTGTGGCTCGTACCACGTTATTTCTGACTCCGGGGTGTGGACGGCGAGCCTGGGCAGGGCGGGCCCTGTGAGCCTCGTTCTCTGGGTTTGTTCCTTTTACCCCCAAGCCCCGGGGATGGGGTGTGGGGTGCATGGGCCATGCAGGTGGTGCGGGCCCGTGGCGGGAACGGTGCCGCGGACGGACCACAGGTGGGCAGCAGAGAAGTGGGCATTCCGTGCCACTTGCCCTTTGTCCTGAGAGAAGGGACCGGCTCTGCAGTATCTGAGGTTCTGACGACGAACGGACGTCCTGGCCGCGCCACAGACCTCGCTGGAAAGTTGTGTGGCATCCGGTGTGCTTCACGCCTTCACGTCCTGTTACCCCGGGCAGGCTGAGAGGTTTCATTTTGGGGGAAGAAATGAGAGTCCGAAAGCTAAGGCCCTCTGGACGTCCCACGGCCTTCTCAAAACACCCTTGTGATGAAGCCGTCGTGTTTTTGGGACGTGAGGACTGCAGTCCAAGAAAAACAAACAAAAGACTAACAAGGCAAAACATGTCCAGGGTGGGGGACACGTTCTGGACTTTACAGAACCCGGAATTTCGAGAAATGGCTTTGAGGCCCTAAACCACGGCCAGGTTTACAAACCCAGCGTTTGAGCTGTTCCAGAGTCCAGACAGCCTTATAAACACACCAGGCTTGTTTGTTTCTCTAAATGAAAACCAGCTAGGGCCCAGCAGCCACCACCCGGAGCGCCAGCGGGCAGGAGGGCTGCGAGGCTGGGGGGCTGAGGGGCCGTGAGGCTGGGGGGCTGGGGGGCTGGGGGACTGGGGCCTGTTGGGAATGTCTTCCAGAGCCAGCTTCTCGGCCGCCCCGGCTCCTGGCGGGGACTTGGGTCATCCAGGGTGGGGCCATAGGGGAGTCAGAGCTCTGCGGAAGTTTTGCCTGAGCTCAGAGACCCCAGACTGGCTCCGGGCTGACCTAGCCTGTGGTCGTTTGGCCTTGCAGGTATGGAGCTAAGACATGTTTGGCTCGCTGCCAATGTGGAAAAACAGGAATATTTCATGTAAATATATGTATTTCCAGTTTCTCTTAAGAAACCCCCCCACGGACTCTGGCTGGGCCACTGCACAGTGCACCCCTTTGTCACGGACACCGTCCCTGGGGCCGTCATGGGGCCATCACGGGCTCAGGTCCCAGTTCTTCAAGGGTCTGTGGTGACCTCGGGCAGCCGCCTCACCCGAGTCCTTGTCTATGGGACGGGTCAGCGACCTTCCCGCCTGAGGCTGCTGTGACGCCTGAAGGAGCCACCGCGTCCCCGGTGGCAGCCCTGTGGGTGGCTGCAGACCCAGCCCCCCAGCCCGCCTGCCTGGATGGCGGCCTGTAGAGGGGCTCACCCGCGGTAACCGCCCACCAGGGCTGGCTGCGCGTCACGGTCACCGGACGGGTGTCATGACATGTGTTAGTGCAGTTCACCTAAAAAACAGGTGAGGCAGACAGGTGCGGATGGCAGGAGTGAGGCAGATGAGCTCAGGGCAGCAGGGGTGAGGCAGATGAGTGCGGGAGCGGCAGGGGTGAGGCAGACGGGCATGGGGCGGCAGGCAGAGATTCGAGCTTTGGCTTCGTGTCCCACTCTGATATGGCTCCTTGTGTCCTGTAGTCAAGCCATCTCGGGGCCACTTTCTTGACAGTTTGGCCGGACATGAAAGGAAACCAGGATGCTTGACGTCAGCCTTGGCTCCGTGAGGCCATGCTGGCGCGAGGCTTGGCGCAGATGCAGGCGGAGGCCGGGCATCCTCGGTCTGCCTCCCTTTGTCCGTGCTCGGCTTCGCGGCGACAGAGCCCAGCACACGCGGGTCGTCGGAGGGCCGCTGTGCGCTCCGAAGTCTTATCTGCCGGGCGTTTGCTCGGGAGGGTTTCTCTGCCTCTGTGAGCTTGTATTTCTTGGTTCTAGAAAAACAGATATGAACGGGGAAGGTCCGCTCGGCATTTTCCAAGTTAGAGTGTCTGCAGCACCCAGAGTCTGTATGGTGATTCCGGGTGACGCTGGGCAGTTTAAAAACTGAACGGTCCTGGTTTTTATCTGAAAGTCCTAGGTGGTGTGTGGGATCAGGCTTCAGCAGGTGGTAAGCTGTAAAAATGGGTTGACTTTAAGGACGGCGATCAGCGATGAGAGTGACAGAGGACATGGTCAGAAGTGAGGCTCGCAAGTGACGAAGATGTGGGTGCGGGAGACAGGGGGCCTTTCCGGACACCTCCGTCTCCACCTCTTCCACACGCTCGCTTCTGTTTCTCTGGTGTTTCGGTGGAGATAGTGGGCTCAGGCTTATCACTTGCCACTTTTATGGTAAAAACTAACATTAAAGTAAAGAGAGACACTCCCCACTCCCCGTCCACCAGGTCAACTACTTTTATAATTCTTGTTTCCAAATTCTCTTGGAGTCCCTATTCAGTTTCACGGTTTTGGCTGATTTTGGAAAAGAAAGAAAGAAAGGGGACATTTTAGGAGCAGAGTTGAAGTCTGAGTTTTCCAAGAAGGAGTAAACGTCCCAGCGGCCCAGCCACTGGCCCCTGTGCGCCCTCTGCCAGGCCAGCCACTGCCCCTTCCTGCGCCCACGCCTGCTCCTGACGGTCCTGACTTCCATCCGCTCTTCCACCTTCCCGCACTCAACTGTCAGCTCGCCGTGGGTCTTGCCGCTCTTCCCGGGGAAGTTTTTCATAGGCTCTGGGTGCAAACGGGAAGCTTTTGAGAGAAAAGGGCTATTTGGATGCCTGGCCATTCTTGAACGTTAACTGAGGAAACAGTCTGTGTTCCTTGAGGATGAGGTGTCTGACCTTCAACCCCCGCAGCCAGCAGGTGCACAAGTGGGGAAACTCCGTGGAGGGAGGGATCTTCCTGGAATGTTCTAGCACCTTGTTTCATCCTCCTGTAGACCCTGAGGGCTCAGCCCAGGTGTTGCTTCTGCACAGACAGGCTCTCACAGGCAAGTCCCTCTGTCTGCACTCCCGCGGCTCCCTGGACCTCTCCAGCACCGGCATGGCCGGGAATGGCCGGTTCACCGTCCGCCTTCCCAGCTCGGCCATCAGCTCTAGGAGGGCAGGGGCCGTGTCTGTCTCGGTCATCGCTGCGTTTTCCATGGTCGATGTTCACTGCATGTCACCAAGCAGATACACGTAGTCAGCCTTTCCTATGCTCTATTCTTTTGAACGCTTTGCATCAAGTGTTTCAAGGGCTGCCACTCACACATTGCTCTGAAGGGCCCCTCACGGCTCCTCAAGGAGCCCATTCTGGTTTTGGACTCCTCTGACTTCTAGACGTTGTTTCCGATCTTGGGCTACGTTCCACCTTGAGTAATGCCCACCTGTTACCTCTGACGCCAGTTCAACTCTGAATCAGGTCGGCTGCTCTCAGGCAAGAGCGTCTGCCCGTAGACCCGGGGAGGCTGAGGGGCCGCGCAGCAGCAGCTGGAGGCCCTCAGCACTCACGTTGGCCCCTTCCCAGCCTTGAGGTGACTTCTCCCCCCTTTGCACGGGGTTACTAAATCCCAAAGGCTGCCAACACAATGCCGAGGGACTCGTGGGATGGAGTTTCAGGAAAGAAATTTCCAGAGAGGTCTGGCAGATGCAGGCTGGGCGTGGATCCAGCCGCTGTCTTCCGCCGATGCTCTGGGGTTACGGGACGTCGGAGCGTGTGGAGTGCCTGGCCCTCAGAAGAGTATTCATCAGTAAACACACTTCACAGATGGGGAGCCTGAGGCCCAGAGGCGCCCCTGGAGCTGCACACTGATTTAGCGCGGCGAATCTCAGAGTAGCATTTACAGACCATGGGCAGTGGAATCACTTGCAGAGATGGTGAAACGTGGATGTTTTCGGGCTCCTGTCCAGGCCCTACAGAATCCAAATCTCCACGGACAAGGCCTGGGAACCTGCATTTTTAGCGGGACCTCCAGGTGACTCTCCTGGATCCTGTCCCCAAACTGGCCAGGACTGAGCATCCCATAAGTGTGTTTTGTCTGGTGGCATTATGTTGGTCTTCTCGGTGTGTGTATGTGTATATGTGTGTGTGTATCTATCTATCTATATATTTAAAGTTTATTTATTTTGAGAGAGATGGAGACAGTGCAAACTTTCGAGGGGCAGAGAGAGAGGGAGAGAGAGAATCCCAAGCGGGCCCCGCACTGCCAGCACAGAGCCCGACGCGGGACTTGAACTCCCGAACCGTGAGATCATGACCTGAGCCAAAACCAAAAGTCAGACACTTAACTGACTGAGCCACCCGGGCTCCCCTCGGTTTTTATATTTTAATGAGTTTTCTAAACGGTTTTTAGCCGAAAATCCTAGCTCAGGAAGTTTGCAGAAATAGCCTGTCGTGGTGCTTTAAATTTTTTTTTTTTTAATTAATATCCGACTTATATAAGAAGATTTCATTTAAAAAGTCTATACTTTTGACTTCTCTTAAAACATCAGAAAATGCAGCAATATCCCCCACGCACCTGCCGGGAGTTGTTGGAGTCGCGGGGTGGCCCCTGGGACAGGTCGTGTCTCCTGCCGTCCTGGGTCCCCCGCACTCTCTGCAGCTTCCCTGGCTGAGACTGGAGGGGTCGGCCCGTGCTGTCGCTCCCCGGCGGCGGCAGCCAGTGAGAGACGGCAGAGCGGGAGACAGGCCCCCAGCGCCGCGTGCGCCAGGGAGATGCTTGTGAGAGCTGTGCGGCTGCAGAGGCGAG